TGAAATCTAATGACCAGCCTGCTTTTAACTGGGCTTTGATGAAGATTGCTAAAGAGGTTTGTTGTATTTTCTTACTTCCTTCTAGTCTATATAGCTTATGTAGACAAATTATACTGATATATGGTAGGAACTTGTTCGGATAGTCAATCAGGATTCAGGATCTTTTGTTTCTAATAATGGCGCATAGGCATAAAGGCCAATCACTAATAAGTAAAGTCTGTTTTTAAATTCTGATAAATTAGCAAAGTGCATGCTATTATAAACTTAAGTAGAAAGTCTATCCTTGTGACTTGACAGTTTAATTGGTGTCAACTATCTAGTCTGTACCTTATTGCCTATCCAGGTGCTACTTCTATTTTCTATTCATGACCATGTTTTGAAATTCCCTAGATCTAAAACTTCAATAAGTATGGTCCAATGAGGCTTTGGTCTCCTTCCAATATGGGGTTCGGTGGAGGCTTAGAAGTACGTAACCTTATCCTCATAAAAAAGCTGTTTGTTTTTTTTCGTTTGTTGGATTATTTGTGTGGCATATTACTATAAAAATAATAAAGAAATAAATGCACTGGTTGATTATACTGTAATTTACTATAAAAATTCTATTTTCCTTTTGGTTATTGATTGTTCTGTGGTTTATCTTAAACGTGACTTTGACTTTTAAGGCTTATGTTTCAGTGTTTCATTATTTTTATCTGTCATTTTGGTCTCCAAATGTTCTTCAAAGGTTCTTTGTTCTAAATCTTGATCTCTAGTCTGATATATAACCATTTTAAATCATGGATTTATTTGCCACCTAGAAGGAGATGGTGGGATTATTTTAGTTTTTAGAACATCTAAAATATGTACATGGTATATATAGTTCTTTTCATGATTAGTTTTTCCATTTCAGGTTGATATGTACCTGCTGCCACAGGCAGCATTCCCCACCGGCGGATTATATTTCAAGAACAAGACATGGGTGAAGGAAACTAAAGGCATGCATGTTATCATTCACAATAACTATATAGTTGGGTTTGAGAAGAAAATAAAGCGGTTTCGTGACTATGGCTTGTGGTTGGTAGATGATCATGCACAGGAGTCTCCTCTAGGTACATTATGATCCTTGGTAGATGACAAAACTTTCTTTAGCTTTGGTCCAAGCACTTCAATTCAGAAAAATCCCTGCTCTGCTTGCTTAAGTGGGTGTTTACTCCAGATTACAACCGTTGCTGTCAACAATGCAACACTGACTAAATGATGGGTTGGGAGAAAATGGTCTCTTGCTTTTAATTTTGTGGAGAAAAAACGGAGCTTGTAAAATGTAGAAGGAAGAGAAGGGTAGACTTTTATTTGGTTTTTCATAGTTGTACCTGATGTATAATGTTTACCAAGAATATTCTTCCATTGTAAGAATTATTAATTTGGCATATATATAATATAATACCAAAGGGAAATATTGAGTATAACAAACATGATAGTCAAGACCGGAAAGAGAAATGTGGATTCAATAAATTTTATTAAATTTATATTCACACGTACAAAATCATTGTCACTTAAAATTGGGCTTTGAAAGAAAGACAAATTGGGCTTTGAAAGAAAAAGAAATGGGCTTTAAAGAGAAACATGGGCTTTTAAAGAAAAAAAGGGGCCATTGCTCTCTGGACTCCAACAATTACTAATTACTAATTACTAATTGCATCTAAACAATAATAAGAAAATTTTGTTCTAGAAATCTCATTTTAATTTATAATAATCCAAATCCTTATTAGATTTTGATTGAGTTTAGATTGATTTATATTTTTAGTTTGAAGATCCAAAATCAATTTGCATATAAGTCGAGTTAAGATGGTTGAGGATCATGCCATATTAGAATGAGTTGACCTTGATAGAAGGTTAGCCGAGTCAATTCTAGTTAAAGTTCGACTCGAATTGGTTCAAACCAAATATCCACTCAAGTCTACTTTAAATGAAGATCAACTCAAGTCAAGTCGGTCTTAGTTGAATATTAAACCTAATTGATCTCAATTGATCGTCGACCAAAAACGATCACAATCAATAGTTGACTCATAATGATTCCAACCAAAAATCGATTCGAGTTGACCTTGATACTACCAACTAAAATCTAAGATCGAGTCAAATTAATCTAAATTAAATAATCGAGTCAAGTTAGTCTAACTCACTAAATTTAATTGTATTGACAAAATACATTAATCTAATTTTAACTCACTAAATTTAATTGTATTGACAAAGTACATTAATATAATTTTAACTAAATAGACTATATTTAGATTATAAATCTAATTCATTTTATTGGATCCAAATTTAAGCTTTTTACAAGAGTCACGCTAATAAACTGCATCGCGATTTTGACTTGGCCACTAGCTATATAAATAGCAATTGGTAATTGGAATGTCTTGTACTTATATATGAAATCTAAAGCCATTGGGCACTATTCGAACATTGTATGAAAAAAAGCTGAAAAAGTTAATGCTTATCGCAGTAAAAGATTGCGTTTGCCGGGAGTCGAACCCGGGTCTATTGCTTGGAAGGCAATTATCCTAACCGTTGGACTACAAACGCTTTGGTGGTAGTTGAAACTTTAAATGTTTTAAAACCTAAAAACCTTTTAACTTGGATTTATAAAATTATGACGTATATTCTACAACTAATATTATCGTTTAAAGTAATGTATTTATACGAATCAAGTATTAGTGAAATATTAAATTAATTTTTAGTGTTATAAAATACAAAGTAATTTGTTCATTTAAACACTAACACTAATGACAAATGACATGAATTTACCCTATCAAATTGCGATATATCAACATAAACACTATTTATATATCGCTTAATGAATTTGAAAATATTTAATTGGTAGCTAATATTTAAATCATCAAATAAATATTTTGTAAACCAATAAAAAAATATGTTATTAATTTAGTTTTCAAATGAAAGGACACGCTAGTCCGGTGTTCAAATTGAATAAATTTAAAAAACTAATTGAAAAAATGAAAATCAAATATCTTTTAGACTATTTTTTTTTCTTTAACCGAGCTGTTTGATTTAAATTTAAATTTGAAAATAAAGAAATGAGATGTGACTTTTGAAAGTTGTTTTATAATTTCAACGTATTGTAATTAGAGTACATGTACTTATTCTAACATCGTAGCATATTTGAATGTTGCAGTTTTTAACTATGAAATTGTGTAATTTATATACAAATAGAAAAGAAAGTTTAACTTGTAAATATGAGTATAATTATAAAAAGAATCATTTTAAGCAAAATTTTTTACTTTGTAATTTTTCATCATAAAATGTTTGGCATTCTTTTTTAAATTGCTTACAATTTTGTAGTAACAAAAATCATTTATTTTGGTTTGAGTTTTGTATATTGAACCAAATTCAACCTAGTTTGATAATGTTTAGTTCAAATGACTCTTTAGTTGAAAATCAAACTATATAACAAGTCATTAACCAATGTCTTATTTCTTTAAACCGATTGAGTTTGTTAGAATAAAATATTGAGCTCAAAGAGAGACTCAACTTATGCACGAAAGATTATCACAAATGCATGATATATTTCTATAGGAAAATTAAAGTAAATTTCGAAAATAAAAAAGAGTCTAATTTATTGAAAAAAAAGTGTTGGTGTTGTTGTTCTTTAATTTTAAAAATTAATAAATATATAATGATAAAAAAGAAGAAAATATCACCAAAGTTTAATTCAATTTTACACCAGAACTATATTAAGATGTTCAATACTCTCACAAATCTAATTCATTACACTTTCAAGTTTTTTTACAAAACTTAAAAAAAATAAAAGAAAGATAATGTTGAGATTGGTATCTCGTAGCAAAACCTTTTAAAAGCGTGAAAATGGTCAATAATCAAGAGGGGAAGGATGATTTTAAAAATTATAATTTTCTTTCAGTAAGTTTATCGAACAGTTAGTAAACAAAGATTATAAAAATAGAGAAAAATCATACAATGATTTTTATCTGATTTGAATCAATAGATTCTATGTTAAGTCGTTAATCACTATAAAGAATTACAATCAAAATGATTAGGAACAGAAAACAGCTTCATTCGACACACGATGAAAACTATCAAGTAGTTTCGATTTTTTCTTAAAGATTTAGAAAGATTGTACATATAGGCTAGAGATTAGAAAATAAAAAATCTGCTCCGAACTACCACTGACCTTAAATTAAGATCTTAAATTTTGCACCATCTCAAACATAAAACCTAACAAAAAAAAGCATCTTGATCAATAATCAACTACTTATAAAAAAACAAGGCCACCTAAAAAATTTAAGTCCATAACTATAAAAGAAGAATAATGAATGTTCTTAAATGTTTTCTTCTTAATCTTATGTTTTAATCTATTTATTCACTAAAAAAAAATTCGAGAAGTAATTTTCAAATTAATCAAACAACTCTTACTATTTTTAAAATGTTTGCGTACTTTTAAAAGAAATTGGTTTAATATAGTGCAAAATTGAACGAGTTAGATTGGTTATAAAACTCTTTTTTAATATAATAAAACACATTTTAATTCATTGAAAAAAACTATATGCAAAGTGATGCAGTTTGAATATGTTAAATCACTAAACTAAATCAGTTTTAAGTTATTTTAATCGGTTAAAATTTTGTTTTAACAAATTAAAAAGGTGACAATTAATATAAATATTGTTAAAGTGTTTAGTTGCACCAATATTTCCTTTGCAAGCTTCCACCCATGCTTATGTAAGACCTGTTACGTGTTGCCATACAACTGGACCAACTTCAATATCCACCCCTTCACTTTCTTCCTGCCTCCCATCAAATTTCTCGTCAGTTGAATTTCTCATATAGAAAGATCATATATGATAATGGATCGAGTTGGACACGGATACAGATTTTATTCGCTGCCATGAACATAAATATTTTTTGTCATTTCTATTCCTAACTAAGAATGTATTCTATAAAAGATTACCACTAGCTTATCCATCATGGAATATGAAACAGTTTCAAAACAGTTCAATAACTGATCATCCTTTTTCCCAAGAAATAGGAAAATGTACACACTGCATAGTTGTGACTGATATGCATGAACTATCCATCTACAGCAAGAATTCCCTAACTAAGCACCTTATGTATATATGGTGGTTTCCAAATTAATCAGAGTGAACAACAATAGACAAATTCAGGAGTTTGTCACAGACTGCTCTCTAGAAAACCAGCAAAACTAGAGTACTTGGGCTCCCACCCAACCACCTGGCGGGTTTTTGTATTGTTTAATCTTTTTCCTAGAGGATCATCTGTTCCTGCAAAGCAAAATATACCAAGATTCATTATGCTTTCAAAATCAAGAAGTGTGTGTTTCTTACAGTCATATAATCACAATTCATCAGGTATAGTAAGCTTGTTCATTTCTGAAACAACTTTCATCAACACAGTATGTAAAAAGGATAACAGCTTCGGCTAAATTAACATACAATGAAGTAATATGACAGTATCAGTTCCAGATATGTTTCACCATCAAAGAACTCACCAGTAAATTTATCAAACTTTTTATTGAATTTTCCACTTTCGTTAACCAGGTCCATCATTTTCTGCCTGCAAACCCATGATTAGTTTGAGATTGTTCTTTAAATATTCAGAGTCTAATTTGACGAGTTAAAGATAAAGCACCTAACCTAGACAAAGGATTATTATCACAACCAAGGAAAATCTGTCCACGGAATTTTTTCTTCAAGATTGCAACTGCAAGGGAAGCTGCATCCTGTTGTGGAAACATAAAAAATGAGCACCGGTTCTAACCTTATCATAAAACAAAGCTAAATACATTAAGAAAACGATATGTAGAAGAAAACAGAGAGGACGACCTCATTTAGAATATATAGGCTCAAGGTTTCTTAGATAATGTGATAATTATAAACATATCTTCAAATTTAATATTAGTTTTTACTAGCCTTGCATTTTATATTTGCTTAAAACCAAGCAGCTACTGCTTCTAAAACTTAAAACAAAAATGAGAGTCCATGAACCAAACTAGAAGCATGCTTTCAAATGTACATAGATTCAACAAGCTCCAGTAGACTCGATAAGAATGCTCATGTTGAGAGATAAGTCTGCTGAGGTGCAGTCAAAGTAACACTTTTCTAGAAATTCCCAGAAGAGATGAGAAAGCTAGCAAAATTAAGACAACTGTGTTGTCTTAATTGACAGCATGACACTGTGTTGTCTTAAACCATAAAAAATGACAGCATGACACTGTGTTGCAACCATATCCAACCAATATTATTAGACAGTTATCTGTTTTGAGTCAACTGTAGCTCTGAGAGTTTGAGGTAAAAACCTAAACACAAAGCCTGGAAAGGCTATAGTGGATTAGAAAAACGTTATTACCAACGGATGATTGGGAATGGACATAGGTCCCAATTTTGGCCAAACTAGTAAAAGTATAGTACTATTTAGAGCTCGTCTAGGAAAGCTGTTTCCCAAATACATCAGTTGTTTTAGGTGAAAATAATCTGTTTAAGATAAGATCGATGTTTGGGGCAACAGCTAAAATTTTGTAATTTTTTTCTGAAAAACAAGTTGTTTTTAAGAATCTAAAAGATTATAACTGTTTTATTTTTAAAGATTTTTTTCCCTTTCATTTTCATAATACTCTTTCTTGTGTAGAAGTTGTTTTTACACCTCTAAACAAAAATAGTTATCACAAAACCACGTTTTAACAAACTTATGCAAACAAAAATTCCAATTCTAACTATAATTAATTATGACAATAATCAACTATATACATGTAATCCGTTGATAGTTGAAATAATCTAATTTTCACAAATCTTATATTACAGTGGCTGCATATTAGAGGTTGGGGGAGCCCAAAGCTCTCTCTGCTATATTCAGATGCTTTCAAAAACACAAAAATAAAGAACTAAACTAGTCGGAATAAGCACTAAGCTTTTGTCTTAATTTCAGTTTGTCTCACTGTATCATAGTTGATTTTTATGCTTGCCCAGTTTTCCAGTATGCAATCTGCCAATTCATTGTCGGTTTTCTGCTTTAAATATATTTAAAGTTTAAACCATCAAATGGATGTACTGTTTCCTATTGTGATATTTCTAGAAGAAATCAGTAAACTAGGGCTGAGTGAGTTTTCTACTTGAAACTCATTAACACCACCACCTGAACATTTTTTCACTAGCTCTCAACAGAGTACACTTCAAGGGTTCAATGATATCAAATAGAAGTTACAGGACCAAAAAGGAAAGTGAATACAGAAATAAACAGAGAGGAAATGGTACTCTGACCTCATAATGTATAAGATTCAGGATGTGATCAGGACGACTATCAACGGTACCCTTTTCCAAGTAATAATTGTGGGCACCTCTATCTTCTTTGTAAAATTGGTTAAGGTTGAAATAAACAAAGCATAGTGGCAAAGATTACTGAGGTTAAAAAAAAATTCCTACAATCCTGATAATTTGAACATAACCAAGGATATATATAGTCCTGCCAATCTCAGAACACAGCCACCAAACTCCAGTACCACATTTTCAGCTTTTAGAAGGACATCAACCCTGGCGTTCCTCCCAATTGGCAAAACTGGAGAATCCTAAAATGAAGTACATGAGGATAAATCAACAAACATTCAAGACCGTAGAAAGGGAAAATCTAACAGTATCGGTTGGCAAATGGAATAAGATACACAGGAATAGAAGTACTGTGATTGCACAAGTGTAGTTAAAACAATTTTTTCATTACATTATTTGGAAAAAAGAAGCCTGTATCACCACCATGTACACAGTAATTATCTCCTTCAAATCAAATAAAATTAAACAGAGAAGCAACAAGAGAATATGACAGTTTGGATGTATAACGCACCTCATCACATGTTCCATTATCATTACAATCATATGGAGCACTGCTTGACGTAAACAAGAAAGAACCTTCCCCATTCCAGCTTAATGCAGCCAATCTGATTAGTTGACCATCCACATCAGTAAATGATTTCATAAGAAGACAACTACTGCACTGTCATTTTCTTTAAGTAGAAAATCCAAGTTGATCTGACCAATCAACTCAATGTTACTACAGGCAATGATGAAAGCAATCAAACAGAATATCATGGTAAACATGAGATAACCTTGCCCATCCTATGAATAGGATGCATGTAAAAATGCAATCAATAAGTCAAGTTCTTTATCAAGAATGAGAATTCTGAGATTGAATACAATTAATACTTGTGCCTTCAGAGGGGAAGGGAAGGGAGGGAAACGTTTTTATTTTTAAATTAAGATAGCAATATAAGTTTTATATACCAAATATATTAGGACATTATGTTAGTCTATCATTTTATTTCTTTCATTTATTTTCTTTATCAGATTAGAGAATATTTATGAGAAATGAAAATTTTACCCTTCCTTCCCTTTCATCCCGAAGTCCAAACCACCAACCCTTTGTAAATCTTGTTCCCCGGTTACAACTTTTAAACATTAAAACTTATTTGCTGATAGATATCAGAGCAAACCACTAAAAACATTTCAGAGAAGTACTATTAGTTCTCTAAATAATAATTTCATATTCTATTTTTGAAGGGCTTATAAGTCAGTGCTAGAGAGTACCTCAAATCTCTATTCGCATACCTTGACAGATTCTTATAACTACCACAAACAAATGACACATAAATTTGACATGATTTGACTCAACATGCTTATCAACCTTGCATCTGCCCCCTCCATATGACATTATTTACTGGGTCTCAATCTTTTCATACATAGAACAAGTCCCCAATAAAAGCATTCACAGCCCACAGAAATTTACACGGCAACCAATCTCTTCTCACTCTATCATCATTATGATAATACTTTTCCTATTAGTATTTTAAAAATACCTTGCACATAACTTTCACTATCTCGACACTATTTCTAACTAAAACTTTGAATCTTTTTATAAGAATTTGAGCCGACAGATAAATTAACAAGAGGTACACACAAACAACAAAAAGTACAACAAAAATATAGATTTTCCAGGAGTGCAATGCCATGATTATTAAGTTTCAAAGATCATTTAGCAGAATTTGAGGTCATTCTCAGTGAAAAAGCTTTTATTACACGAAATGTATGTTAAGCTGTTACATGATCGTGCTGAAGAAAAGATGTCACATGATATAAATGAAGTACAATGGGATATTAACAAGATTTGCATTGAGATACAGATTGGTGTGCTTAAACCTCATCCATGATATTCAACCAATAAGAAAGCATCAAAACCACACAAAAACAATTTGTAGGAGTTTAAAGACTGATTTCAGAGCATAAAGAATACTCCTCAAGAGCTAAATCCATTATCCAGAACAAAGGTGGGCATTAGCACAAACCAAACTAACTGACCAACACTGCTGGTATATTAAGCCTTGAACAAACTCATTACCATGTTGCCATACCCTGAAGATTTCTCACCTAACATTACCAGCATAGTCCGGTGTGCGGGAAGGTGGTGCACAATAAATGACATTTGGAAATTTGTGAGTAGCTTCCGTCCATTTCAAAGACGGGTAAATACCCATTTGTATCAACTCGTTGTGATGATGAGTAGTCACTGTCTGACCATAAACTTGACAGTCTGGAATTTCCTGCTTGCAAACACATAAATAGACACAAACATATAGATAACCAGCTACTGAATATCGACTAATCATAAGAATAGCAACGTAAAAACTTTTACATCGTCAACCAAATAGAAATCACCTTAAATATGACTTATAAAGTAATTACTAAAAATTCAACAACTTCATACATAAAAATATATTATTCTGCTACAAGTAAATTCTGAATACAATGTCAATAAACCATAATGTTATATTCGTCCTTAACAAAGAATTGCATAAACTAGCGTTCCAATGTACGATAGTGAATTGGCCGAAGAAAATGAAAGAATACCTGATGCCATTTCTGAGCAACCAAACGACCAAGAACCCCGGGACCCACAACGAGTAAGTCATGTTCTCCAATTACCTGAGGAGAGGAAGAGAGCGATTCTTCTGTGGGAGAGAGTGCATCTTGCGAGACCTTCAAATGGGTTGTCTTGGACATTGAAAAAGATGTAAACTTTACACCATTTCCTAAGTTTGAATAAGAGGATCGAAGGTGGGGTTTGGGAGTGAGGAAACTGAGACCGCGAACGTTATCACAGAGGATAGAGAAATTCCCAGATAGCTTTTGAGGTTTGAAAAGAACATTAGTAGTTGGGAAACATGTAGTTCCCATCATAATCATAAGGAAGCCTAGTCTGCAACTGGAAGAGGTTGTTGTGTTGGTCTCTGTCTATGTTTTTGGGACTTAATGGATTGAAATGCCCACACGGCGTAACGCATTGGGAAATTGTAGATAAGAGAGCTTCAATTTTATCAATAGCATTTTTTGGTACATTGTATTGAATTCTTTTTTATATTCTGTTTTCTTCATTTAGTTAGCACATTTATTTTGTAAAGATTAACGTATGGTTTTTATTTTATTTTTTAATTACATTGATATGTATACTTTCTTGAAAATTTTGCAGATTCTATGTTTTGTTTTCTATGAATGCAACTTTTTCCATAAAATATTGAAATGCACGTTGAATTTCTTAAAATGAAAATTGAAAATTGAATTTATATCACTTAAATAGTATATTCTGTGCTGATTTTATAAGTGAAAAAAAAAACATAGTGACTGAGATTGAATTATCATCTAAACATATTTTTTTAAGAATTTTTTTATGTAATTATTTGAAATATTATCATTGGACTTTAATTTTGTTTATTTTGATTAAACTTTACGTAAATGGTTTAGTTTAAATTTCAATTGTATTATTATATTTTTACTTGATATGTGGGTTTTTTTTTATCAAACTAGGCAAATTTGTCAGTCATTCCCAATTATTTTTCTGAAAGGAAGTCGTGGGGTCTAGACGACTTCTAATGAAGAAGTCGTGTCCCCTACACGACTTCACATTGTTCATTTGACTAATGTGGAAATCGTGCACCTTAAAAACGACTTCATGGTGTTGTAATCGATTACGAAGCATTGTAATCGATTACAACGTGCTGAAGTCGTGTCTCCCCTACACATCTTCACTTTTGTGGCAAAAATTACTCTGGTATTCAATTACACCCTTGTTGTAATCGATTACTAGTATGTTCAGTTCGCACTAACTCCCTTGTAAGCGATTACAACCTTGTTGTAATCGATTACTAGAGTGTTATGTGGGCAAAAACTCTCTGGTAATCGATTACAACAGAGTGTTTGGTTATTGAATAAAATTATTTTTTTGTTGTAAAGCATCATTAGAGGTTATTTATGTGTAATTATTTTAATTTTTGTAGGCACACATAGTTGTTGATGACATTGTGATGTATTGTTATGTTTAGGAAGAGTTATTTTTTCAATGTAAATACAACAAAGTAAATTTCACTTTTTTCATTTTTTATTTTATTTAAATCAATTTTAATTAATGAAATTAGGTTTTTAAGTCTTAAAAAATTCAACAAATCAATTTTATAAATAGAAAATTAAAAATAAGTTTTATTTATTATAAATTATAAATTATTATATTAATGAGTTAACATTTTTATACATCTATTAAAACATCTCTCAACATCTTTTACTTTTTCAAAAAAAAACTACTCAATCAAACAAAAAAGCTATGCACTGTATCCGTAAATGAAAGTTGAATATTTTATACTAAATCAATGAAATGTAATAACTCACTGCATGCATGCAATCCTATACATAGTTGATGGTGCCAATGAAAAGTAGTACTTACCTACTTCAAACCGTAACAGCTTCCATGCACAAACTGAACTTCAAACTTCAAATTTCATTATATATACCATTCTTTCACCATTCCATCTTCACAGCCAAATTCGACATTCAACAATCAACAAATTTCATCTTACTTCAATCTTTCTTTTTCTCGTGAACCACTATTTGGTAATGTCATCGTGGAACTTCGGATCATCTTCATCATCGCAAGTCATTGACGAAGAACCTTTGATATTAGATAATGTTGATGAATTCAACACAGATGATGAATTGGATAACATACTTGGCAATGAACACAATGACGACGACCACATGACACAATCATCTCAACATGTCATTCCAGAGCTGCATGACTGTATGTAGTTCAAGTCAAAGGAGGAAACTATTGTTGCACTCTAACAATATCACATCACCAACGGTTGCAAATACAGTATTGTTGAATTGAAGCCTAACATTTTTGTTATTCGATGTCTGGAATACCACAATAGCTGTCAATGGCGTTTGAGGGCAGCCTATAGCAAAGTCCGTAAATATTGGGAAATCAAGAATATCGACGGACAACATACATGTTTCTCAAACATACTATCTAAGATCATACAAATCTTGATAGTACTCACATTGCCGCAATTGTATCAAATTATGTCCGGACAAACCCCTCCATTCCCATCAAGAGTTTGATTGCAGATATTAAAGCTCGATTCGGATATTCTGTCATACAGAAAAGCTTGGATCGCAAAACAGAAGGCTCTTGCTATGCAGTTTGTTTACAATGCACTTGTTCTCTAGTGGACACTATGGAAAGAGTTTTCTGGTCTTTCGGTCCTTGCATAGAAGGATTCAAATATTGTAAACTCATTCTCCAAGTGGATGGAACATTTCTAACGGGAAAATATCATGGAACTTTGCTCACCGCCATAGCTCAGGATGGCAATAGAAATCTTTTTTCATTGGCATTTGCCATTATAGAAGGTGAGACAAAGGAAGCCATGATATGGTTCTTTCAACTACTTCGAGAACATGTTTGCCCTCAACAAAATATTTGCATCGTCACTAACATGGAAAAGGATATTTTATCGGCCTTAAGATCAGAAGAAGTTGGTTGGAAAGAAGATGGTTTGAACTCTGTTTATTGCATACGTCATCTAGCCTCCAACTTCAACAACAAATTCAAAAATCAAGACTTCAAAAAACAATTCATCAATTTAGGTACTACTACAAACTTTTTTACTACCAATTTACTGTGTATACATTGTTAACATATTTGTACATTTTTTTATTACGTCCTTACAGCTTACGAGGTTAAGCAACCCACTGTCACGACAAAGCTTACTGCACTAAGAGACCAATACCCACAAGAAGTTGCTTAGATAGATAAAATTGCATTAAAAAAATGGTTTCAAGCTTTTGATGGAGGAAGAAGATATGGACATATGACCACTAATTTTGCTGAGTGCATGAACTCCGTTTTAAAGAGAGCACGTTCATTACCAATTTATGCTCTCATCAGAACAACATTTGAGAGGACACAATCATGGTTTGTTGAACGAGGATTAAAAGCAAACTACATGTTACAAGCAGGCCACCAATTTCCTAAAGAAATCACCGACATTATTAGAAAAAATCAACAACAATCCGCATTTTGTCATGTTCATCGCTACAACCGTGAAAATTCTGAATTTGATGTTCAAGAAATTTCAACACCTCACCAATACCGCCCACATCCAATTTCATATAAGGTAAGGCTAAATGAATGGTGGTGTGATTGTGGTCACTTCCAAGCTACTCGTCTCCCATGTCATCATGTCATTGTCGTTTGTGCATATTCCCATATACCACTAACCCAAGTCATCGATCCAGTGTACAATCTTAACAACATTTACAAGGCATACGAAGTACAATTTCACCCGATCCAAAATGAAGATTATTGGTCTACGTATACAGGTCCAAACTTCATACCAAATCCTCAAATGCGAAGCAAGGCATCCAGAAGACCATCTACAAATAGTGTTCGTAATGAGATGGATCAATCCACTCCAGATCAGCCGAAAAAATGCTTTTACTGCCATAACGGAGGTCATCATAGGGGAAGTTGTCCATTTCATCAATAATTATTTATTAATCTTACCATTTTGTAATCCAATCAATAATTAATAAGTTAATATTAATATTTCGTATAAATTTTGTTTTAGCTTTTTCTTTTGTTTTTCGCTTCAATAAATTATAATGACAATTTCTTTTTTTGTGTAACACAAACAAAACAAAAATGTCTACAAAAAAAATTTATTCACCAACCAAACACTTTGGTAATCGATTACACTGTTGTTGTAATCGATTACCAGGGAGTTTTTGCCCACATAACGCTCTGGTAATCGATTACAACAAGAGTGTAATCAATTACCAGAGTAATTTTTGCCTACAAAAGGGAAGTCGTGTAGGGAGGACAGGACTTCAGCATGTTGTAATCGATTACAATGCTTCGTAATCGATTACAACATCATGAAGTTGTTTTTAGGGTGCACGACTTCAACACTGGTCAAATGAACAGTGTAAAGTCATGCAGGAGGGACACGACTTTTTCATTAAAAGTCGTCTAGACCCCCCACGACTTTCCTATTTTTGTAATTTTCAAAAAATTTGCCTATTTCCGTAATATTGAAGGCAAATTTTCCTAGTTTGGTACAAAAACCTGATTTATGGTTTTTAGTTTTGAAGGCATTTCTTGGAAACTGGTTTGGAGAGGAGTTCAGAATACTTAAGGGAGAAGATAATTACAAACCCTGCAGCACAATACTTCAGTAAACTTTGTTGTTATTTCTCAAGGGAATTTTGAGCAACTTAAGCACAATAATAAACAAATACTTTGTTGTCATTAATTATAATTTATGTTACTACTTCTGTTTTACGTTATATTTTAGATATTTGATCAAACTAATGTAACTAATCTTCCTAAGTGGTTCTCAACATAAAAAATAGGACTAGAATTTATTGTCAAAAATCTTAAAAGAAAATTAGTATTTAACTAGATATACTTTATAACATATTAGAAGTTGAATATGTGAATTTTTACTTCCTAAAATACACTTATTTGAATTATATAACTTTTTGGATTACTTTCATTATTTTATTTCACTCTTGTAATATTTATGTAACTTATTCATTTTTCTTTTAAGAGTAGTAGGAAAATTTCAAAAAATTTCTAAGATTTTTTTTTTTAAGTTTAGAGTGTTGTGTCTAACCAATAACTAAGAAGAACAAAATTGTATTATATTTGAAAGGTAAAGTTACATAACATAGAAAAAGAAAAAAATTCTTATAAAGGCATTTAATCTTAACTAACCAGATAATTATACATTTGTTTCCTTTTACATTATCTCAAACTAATGTAAGTGGAAACACTTACGAATATAGATTCTATCTTATATTTAGAATGAGTAGGGCAAAGTATTTGTGTTAAAGATTTTTAATTTTAAAATTAGTAGAGACTTAAGATAATCAAATGTTTATCTTAAATGTGATGTTGTACTTTAAAGAGCTCAAAAAAGAAGAAGAGATGGTTCAATTGAATAAAAAAATGGAAGATA